GCGACAGCGCTACTCCTGCGGGGGGGGCGGCGGCGGGAGGGGCGGCGGCGAGAGGGGTGGCAGCGAGAGGGGTGGCAGCGGCGGGAGGGGCGGCAGCGGCGGGAGGTCCGCCCTTGGCCGAGCCAACGTCACCGCTCTCCGGCGGCACGTTGCCAGAGGAGGAGGAGGCGCACGAAGACAAAACGAGGCGCATCGAAAGTGTAGGGGAGGCAGCCCAGGCTGAAAGCGTCGGCGGAATGAATAGGTGCGGCGCATCGAGGTGCGATTGCGTGGCGTCGCCGACCGCAAGGCGCGCCACGCCGCCAACCAGCGTCTGCACGCGAGGCTCCTCGCACAGCTGCAGGCGGCGCAGCCTCCTCTGCCCCGCCACCTCAGCTCGCCAGAGGGATGGAGGGGAAGTCTGGATTGGGCTGTAGGTTTTGCCGCCGGCGCAACGGCCCGCAGTGGCGGTCGCTGCTCGGCAGTTGCGGCAAGAGATTGACGCGTACTGCTGCCCGAGGGCCACGGCCGCGCGACAGGCGGAGCTCGCGCGACTCGCGGCGCGGATCGCAGAGTTGCAAGGCGCCGCGGCGCCGGAGCCTGAAGCTGAGCCGGCAGAGCCGGGCTGGCAAGGGCCCGACCACCATCCGCCATGTGTCCCCTCTTGCTGAGAGAGCGGGAGGCCGCGCCCCCGGGACCACTCGTTTGCTTTTTTTCGCTCCAGCCCTGCGGGACATCATGTTCCAATGATCGATGATGAGTTTTGGCGTTCGCATCAAAAAAGAATTACCTGATAGAATTACTATCTAGTACCATTGTATGCCGAGGCCCGAGCGGAAAAGTCGTCACTTTGGTCACTCAGATGCGAAACAAGTTTGCGACGGCGCCCCTGATCGGCGAGACAGGGCTATTCTCCGACCGACCGGGCGAGCGTACGGGCGACCGAGATGACGATCTGTTGTTGTTGCTGCTGCTGCTGCTGCGTGCTCGAAGTCGCCGTGGCGAAGACACGGGGGAGAGGCTCCTTACCCTGGCCAGGGAGGCCTCGCGCGCCCGCTCCACGCGGCCTTGCCGTTCGCGCGCCTGGTCGACGTCTGCCCACGCCACGCTTGCTGCTGCACCGCCGTCCGCCGGCAGGCGCTGCGCCGCCGACGAGATGCCGGGGAGGACCGCAGACGACCTGCCGGCGAGCACGGCCTCGTTCATCCAGTCGGTGGCCTCGAGGTCGACGTCGCGCCTGCATCGACGCGGGAGCGCACGATATGGTCTCAGAAGGGCGGTCTCGGAGGTGTGTCTCGGAGGTGTGTCTCGGAGGCCGTGTCGCGCACCGCGGTGCCGCCGGCTCTGGCCGTCCCGCCAGCCGGTCCGTGAGCCACCGGCGCTGCGCCTCAATCGCCGAGACGAGGCCGCTGTTTCTCTGGGACAGCCTTGCTTCGGAGGATTGCTCGGAGCGCGCCCGCTGCCTAGCCTCCTCCACCCGCCGCGCCGCCGCCTCACGCACGTGGGGGTTGCGGCTCGTCTCCGCAGCGATCTGTCGCTGCGCCTGTGCCGCAGCGCTACCGCCGCCGCCGCCAGAGAGGGCGACCTCGACGCGCGTGCGAGCGGCGGCGGTCGCACGCGCTTCGTCGGCGGCGCGAGGGCGAGAGGACTCGGGGTGGTCACTGGCGTCACCAGCAGCAGCGGAGACGTTGGCTTTGGTGGACGCTTCTGCGGCCGCCGCCAGCGCCTCGAGCCGATGCGCCTCAACTGACGCGCGACCGGCCGCCTCCCGCGCCGCCCGCGCGCGAGCAAGAGCCGCATCGCGCTCGCCGGGAGCGGCGGAGGTAGCGCCCTCCTCCAGCTTCACCGCCGTCGACTCTGCCCGGCCGGCAGCAGCACGAGAAGCCGCAGCCGCAACTCGCGCCTCCCTTGTCCGCTGGAGCACCCCATCGCGGACGGAGCTGCGCTTGATACCGCCCGCCGCCGCATCAGCGCACACCTCGTACTCCTCGACCAGGATCTCGAGCCTCGTCGCCTCCGCATCCTCCCCCACCGCCGCCTCCGCCGCCAGGTTGGCAGCGGCGAGAAGCTCGTCCCGTACATCGCACATCTGCAGCAGCGCCGCGGCGGCGGCAGCCTCGGCCCGGAGTCTGCTCTCCTCACGTCGAGCCGCAGCTGCCCTTGCGCGCGCTTCCTCCATCCCGTCTCGAGCTACCTTCGCCCTCGCCAGCATGCCGTCGCAAGCCAGAGGCCCGGCCGCGACCGCCGCAGACAGCGAGTCGCCCTGCGGCGTCGTCGTCCAGGAGGCCACCACCCCGCTGGAGCGCCTGTCGCGCAGCGAGACCCGGCCTCCCACGCTCGCCCGCCTGCTGGCCGCCGCAGCAGCCTGCTCCGCCTCCAGCTCCTCCAGCCGCACCGCCTCCGCCTCTTCGCGCTCCGCCGTCTCCCTCGCAACGTTGGCAGCGGCGAGCAGCTCGTCACGCACGTCGCAGACCTAGCACGTCGAGGCGGAGACAGGCGGAGACTGAGAGATAGCCGAGAGACGGCCGAGTTGCAGCTGAGGTGCACCTGGTACATCGAGGCAGCAGCAGCAGCCTCCTCGAGGAGCCGCGCCTCCTCCTGCCTCGCCGCGGTTGCCCGCGCGCGCGCCTCCGCCGCCGTCGCCGGCCGAGCCCCGCCTTTCTGCGAGCCCTGCTCGCGCCTCATGGCGAACCGCCCTAGCTTCGCCGGCCGTATCACCGCTGCGCTCAGGTTCAGGGCGCGGGCGCTGATGGCGCAGAGGCGGCCGACGCGGAGCAGTAGCCCCGCGACCGCAAGCAGCAAGGAGACGTAGACCGCCAGGTAGACAGCGGCGAGGCGGCCCTCGTCGTCGAGATCGTCGGCCTTGGCGTTTGCGGCTGCGAGCAGCTGCAAGCTGACGACGAGTATGCCTCCCGAGTGCAGCAGCGCGACGGCAGACACGCAAACGCACATCGCGAGGGTGGGGAGGCGGAAGTAGGAGCGGCGCCGCCACGGCAGAAGGTAGAGTGCCTCAGCGTTGAGAGGCGACAGCGCGAGCGCCGCCCAAGTCGCCGCCGTGCCGAGGGCTGACGACGCAGCCTCCTTCGACGTGGCCTGCCGAAACGCCGACTCGCGAGACTCTTGAGAGAGAGAGGACGTCGACGACGGCGTCTGCGGGGAGGCGTCGCGCGGCAGCGGGGGCGGCGCACGCCGCGCGAGACGGAACGGGAGACTCCAGCCAGCGGAGCCTTTCGGGCCATTGAGATGCAAAGGTTGTGGTGGCGCCGGAGACGAGGCTGGAGGCGAGGGCAGCGGAGATGGTGGCGGCGAGGGCGGCAGCGAAGGCGGCGGAGCAGATAAAGGGGGGGTCAGGGGCGGTAGTCGTGAGCGGCGGAGCACGTGAGCGGCGTATCCTGCCAAAGCGCATGATGCGACGAGCACGGCGCTGAGGACGGACCAGGCAGAGGTCCAGAGCGCTCCGAGGATGTCTCGGGCCCAAAAGGCGTGGGCCGCGAGGAAGACGTCGGCCACAACCTGAAGGGCAGAGGCGACGGACAGAAAGCGTCACAGCAACAGCAAAATTGTGTGTGTGCAAGGCACGCGCGAGGCGGATAGCACCTGCAAGCTGGCGAGGGGGAGGCGCAGGTATGGCCCCTCGGCCACCCGCTGGCCGGTCGCCCTCGAGCACAAGACGACGGCGCCCGACGAGGCGAGGAGCGTGACAGCGAGGACGGGGACCTCGAGGAGCCGGTCCGCCCCCATCGGCGAGGGGCGAACTAGAAAATCGGCGGGAGCTTTCGGCGGCGGCGGCAGCGGCGGGGACTGAGGCGAGGAGGGCGGCGGCGGCGGCGGCGGCGGCGGCGGTAGCGGCGGTGGCGCAGGTGGTGGCGAGGGAGAGGGCGGCGATGGCGGCGGCGGAAAGGGCGGAGGTGGGGAGGGAGGCGGCGGCGGCGTCGGCGGCGGTGGAGATGGTGGCGGCGGGCTTGGATCAGGCAGAAATGGCGGGGGCGGCGATGGCGGCGGTGGAGACGGTATCGGTCGAGAGGGTGGAGGCGATGAGGGCGGCGGGCCGCTGGGTGGGGGCGGAGAGGGTGGAGGTGGCGAGGGTGGCGGGGACAATGGAGGTGACAACGGCGGCGGAAACGACGGCGGTGGCGGGATCGGCGGCGGCAGCAAAGGCGGTGGCGGCAGTGGTGGCCGCGAGGGCGGCGGCGGCGAGGGCGGAGGCGGCGACGGCGGAGGCGGCGACGGCGGCGGAGGCGAGGGCGGCGGCGAGCTTGGCGGTGGTGGCGATGGCGGCGGCGAGGAGGGCGGCGGCGAGGGCGGCGGCGAGGGAGGCGGTGGTGAAGGGGGCGGCGGCGAGGGTCGCGGCGGACTTGGCGGTGGTGGGCTTGGGGGTGGCGGCAAGGGCGGCGGCGGGCTGGG